TTTTTTGCCGGATTTAGTTTTTTTCGGATATTTGTATTCGAAAAACCCGAAAAATCGAAGAACTACAACTTGTGTTTAAGAACCTGTTACACATACAACTAACGTGTTTTACACATTGCGAACAAGCATAATCAAGAATCCAAGTACATTTCAATCTGATAATCCAAAGCCACAAGTATAACAACATAATGTTTAAAACTTAACATTCCAAATTAGTGTTCAAGTAACCAGAAACTTAGAATAACCAAAACTAAGATATTGTTCAAGATTTCAAGTACCATTTAAAGCCGAACAAAATAAATATTGGAAAAACACATTCAAAAATGAAGAATCATACATTCTCTATCTTATTGTTACATTGAAAAATTAAGTAACAAAGTCAACAGCAACAATTAAATGAAAACGATAAAGATTCAAAGATGTTACTTCATATTAAATTTTGGTAACCAACGTTAACCCGACACTGATTCCAATTAAATTTCATGGTCAACTATATTTTTTCCAAATTGATCCCTAACTACAAGTATAAAAAAATTATTTAGCATCATTCCTAAACATATGCAAAAAATCTTTACTCGGACTCACTCGACCAATTCGAGCCGGTTTTACTCTGACAGCGGCAACAACATCATTAACAACTTCTACGAAATGTACAACACCATTAAAAACGTTATTTACAACCGTTGAGCATATTATTAATCACCCAAACTGCATGCTTGTAAATATAGAGTCCAAGAAATACAGACATACACCATAAATGACACAATGAAAAGTGTGACAAAGATGGAAACAATTTTCGCTAACGACATTTTCTAGTTGACTATGAAAAAGAACCACATGATATGTAAATCATACTCCCAAAGTAATCTACTCTTATTTTCTCAGATATTGTCCACATAAACCAGTAACAACTAAACTATCAGGCCGCTCACTTCATTTATCAAGTTAATGTAGGGGATGCAACAACAAATGAATGGAATTTATATGGGATGCGACTGTTATTTTTTCCACAATTAGAACACATGAACGTTCTTTCCTTTGCCAAAGGTGTAGAGCACCAAACCTATTACGAGATGATAGGTAAGCGAATCAAATTATACATGCAATTATTCTACTTAACCTATTAATGAAAGTAACGTTTGGTTGATCACATCTCAATCACTTTTTTATAGATTTAATGTGGCCTTCAATATTCATGAATGTAATGACGTGACAACTTTTATTATGCATAGTGAAGATTTGATATACTCTTCTATCTCGACTAGTGGGTTTTCTCGTGAAGTATAAAATTCATTACAATGTATACATTGTTGATTTGAAATCATAAAAACTATCGACCACTCGATACCTTAATACTGGAAATACTTACTTGAAAAAGGCTTACAAAGTTGTTGTCGATGCATTGTCCACTTACCTTCAACCGTTGTTGGGAAATCAAATTAGGTTTCAAATTAGAATCACACCGTAAAATTACTCAGCCACCCACTATACCTTCACAGTTTCAAGGATCAAAATCAGTCATTATGTCCCTCAAGTAATCGTACCAAATTTACTACGTTCTTAATTATATTGTGTATTGACCAGGTTGTAACCTAACAACTCTCTTTCATTGTTCCACAACCAACATTTCGTACTATGGACCAAGGTCATAACTCTCTATTGGACAATCGTCTTCAGAGTAGCTCTACCTTGTCATTCAGGTCTTCTCGGTGTCCTTCAATAGATAATATATGCCATTAGTAGACCAAGAAAACCATCTTTGAAAGAAACTCAAATTTTACCACTACACTCTGTATTACTCTATGTAGTTTTTCGACATTTTTTAATGCAAACCCTTTTGAATTTTGAAAGCCACTTGCTTATTATGAAACCTACCATATCAATTTTTTACTTTGGTCAAGCAAGGTTACTTATTTATTATCATACAAGCATTTGTAATCAAACGTCTCCATAACTTGCATTTTTACTTTTTTTTTTTATGTGATGACATATAGAACCACCTCCCTATTTTTACTCCAATAAAAAGAAAATTTCAGATTTTCCATTTGT